AAAGTTGGTTGACGCCACACCCTCGAACGATTAAGAACGAGAATGATAAGTTAGGTTAGAACGCCACAAGAATAATCTTGATAAGTTCTGTAAAGTTCTGAAACGAACCAAAGAGAAAAGTCTCTCAAAATCTCAGAGTCAATAGCCTCCCCCCATTAGGGTTACAAGCCTTTTAAATAGAGAAAACAAATCCTAATCAGAATCGGAAATTAACACCCTAAGTCCCAAACCTAATAACCACGAATTGGGCCTTAAATAAATGAATGTTCAGCCCCAAATAATATAAATAACGTGAAAATCACTAAAAGTAACCTAAAGTAACATGAAATATCAGTTTGTTACAAATTGCGACAGAATTGCGACACGCAAACTGTGTAATTTAGCATAAATGACCTCAATTAAGCTTCTCTTGAACCTGAATGATGTTTGTCATGCCTTGATAATCATCCAAGCTTTGATTTACTTCTTGCATGTTGTTATCAACCCAGATCTGCTCAATAAGGCCATTTAAAGCTTCTCACATCTTCCTAGCTCTAGCTCTCGTGACTGGACCTCCTGGAATGTGTAATGGATCTCTTGACGTGGTACATGTGGGGTCATCTTGATTCCCATCATCATCTAACATGTCATCTAATCTAGGAATAGGGTGATGATACTTTACAATGATTTTGTTGACCGCACGACAATCAACGCACATACGCCAAGTCCCATCCTTCTTAGGCACAAGTAGCACTGGAACTGCACATGGACTCATACTTTCTCTCACATGTCCCTTTTTCATGAGTTCTTCGACCTGCCTTTGAAGTTCTTTCGTCTCATTGGGATTGCTTCGATATGCTGATTGGTTTGGAATTGTTGCACCAGGAATGAAGTCAATTTGATGCTCGATTCCTCTTATTGGTGGTAAACCATTAGGAACATCATCTGGAAACACATCCTTGAAGTCCTACAAAAGAGATTTAACAGCACTAGGCAAAGAATCATGAAGTTCGTTAGTGTTTAAATAAGCATCTTTATACAGAAGCACAAACATAGGCTGCTTTGCAAAGATCGCAGCCTTGACATCACTTTCTTTTGCATAAACACTCACTGATCTTCTCTCTTTGTTTTCAACACTCTCAATCTTTTCTCTCTTTTTGGACTCTTTTTCTGCTATTTTCTCTTTGTTTTTCATACCCTCAAACTCACTCTCATTTCTCAGCTCACTCTCTTTTTTTACTCTCAGTTGATCCTCATAAACCTGCCTTGGACTCAATGGTGCAAGAGTAATTGTTTTCCAGTCCATGACAAATGAATAGCGATTTTTGAAGCCATCATGTGTTACCCTCCTATCATATTGCCATGGTCTCCCTAAAAGTAAATGTCCAGCATGCATAGGAACCACGTCACAAAGTACCTCATCCTTATATCGTCCAATAGAGAATGAAACCAGAACTTGCTTATTTACCTTGCTTTCTCCACAATTATTTAACCATTGCAGCTTATATGGCCTTAGATGCTTTGTCATAGGTAAAGCTTTTCGACTAAAACAGTGCTAGCTACATTAGTACAACTACCACCATCAATAATCACACTACATACCTTCTTTTTGACATGGCACCTCGTGTGAAATATATTGTCACGTTGTACATCATCATCTTCTTTGGCTTGGACATTCAAAGCATGTCTGGTGACAAGCAGTTCTCCATCAACAGCATATTCCATGCCATCATCAGCATCTTCCAATGGTGGCATAGAGTCATCATCAGATTCACCCTCTGTTTCAATTTCTCCATCCTCTTTCAAGATCATCGTGTGCTTATTAGGACATTGTGATGCAATATGCCCTCTTCCCAAGCATCAAAAACACTTAATGTCTCGGTTTCTGCCTTGCATACTGTCAGTTTTACTCTTCTCACTGCTGCCAACGTCTTTTGACTTAGATGCTGAAGTTTTAGGCTTAAAAGCAGAATTTTCTTCCTTTTTGCTCCAATTTGGTTTCCAAGAAAATGAGGAACCTGGATTTTGCCTAGTTCTGGTGGTGGCACCTTTACGCTTGAGTTGCCTTTCTACTTTCATTGCCATGTGCACCATATCCTCTAATTCAACATAATGCTGCAGTTCTACCACATTAGCTATATCACGATTTAAACCATGCAGAAACTGTGCCATTGTTGCTTCTCTATCCTCTTTGACATTCGCTCTAACCATTGTGATTTCCATCTCCTTGTGATAATCCTCAACCCTTCTGGACCCTTGAGTAAGGCCCTGTAATCGTTGATAGAGATCGCGGTAGTAGTGACTAGGAACAAATCGTTTTCTCATCACAGCCTTCATCTCTTCCCAAGTGTCAACAGGATGCTCTCAATTTCTACGTCGACTAAGCACAAGCTGATCCCACCACACCACAGCGTAATCAGTAAATCCCACCGCTGCTAGTTTCACCTTTTTCTCCTCAGAATAGTTATGGCAATCAAACACCAATTCCACCTTCTTTTCCCACTCCAAATACACATCTGGATCATTTTTGCCTTGAAACGGAGGAATCTTCATCTTGATGCTACCTAAGTCATGATCTTGCCGATCTCCCCACCTCATCAGATTTTGCTCTCTTTGGCCCCCTCTACCTCTCATAATTATGTCCATGCTGAAATTAGAGTTCTGGGCGTCATTGTTGAGTGCATCTTCATAATCATCATTGAAATCGTCATTAGCATCATTCCTACGCAAATTCGGACTTCCACTTTGTGTTTGGTATAACTTGGCTATCGCTGCATCTTGCTTGTCCATTTTGTCTTTAATCTCACCAAACATGATGTCCAGAACAAGCTACTTTGGATGAGAAAAAGAAGGCTGAAGTGGTTAAGCAACTACATGAGAGGGTGCAACAAAACATAGAGCAACGAACTCAGCAATATGCAAATCAAGCCAACAAAGGGCGCAAGAAAGTTGTGTTTGAACTTGGAGATTGGGTTTGGGTGCATATGCGG